TGCTATGAAGTTGAATGACATAATGAATAAAGAATTTTTAGCCTGTAAATAAGCAGTAACTCTTAATAAATAGTAGGCATATTTATTGTCAATGTTAGACATTGTATGGTGTGCAAGACTGGAGTTCAGGCAGTCCAGAAATAGAGTTGCAGTAGTTAAGAATGTGAAGACAGTGACCTGGATTAGGATGGTGACAGTGGAGATAGATTGGAGAAATTTTTAGAAGAGATAATCATCTGGTATCCAATTGTATATGAGGAGAAATATAGGGATAGTGGCCAGAATGACTCCCCACTTTCCAGCTTGAGTGTTTGGTAGGAAAGTCATAGCACTGACTCCAAAGAGAAGTATAGACTCAGGAGTGAATCAATAATGTTACATCACTTTATGTAACCAAAGGGGAGGAAACCACTCAGAAATAGTCAACAGTAGAGCCAGAGAGAGAAAGAGATTGAGAGAAAGAGAGATACTCTGAGACTTTAGGCTTTCCACTCAGCATTTCTCTGTTGGTGGTTTCTTGGGTTCTCCTTTCTTAAATTTCACAAGTGACACAAGTTGTTCACAACAAGCTAAATGTTCTCTCTCTAAGGGAATCTATATTTCTGCTCAATGTAAAATAAATCTCCCCCTGCCTCTCCCCACTATGGGGATTTTTAATTTAATAGTCACTAAAAAGATCTTGGGGAAAACCCTTCCTATTTTCCCTTCAGTCTGTAGGAGTGAAGATGTTTCAGAAAGCAGCCATGAAAATTTCTAAGCTCACAATGAACTGTGAATTGCAAAGTCATAAAAACCCACAATAAAAATGAAGGTGTAAACTTGACCTCTATCCTTCTGTTTTCGATAATCAGGCTCTCTAATTTAATACAGAGGTGTGAACAAACATGCCTGTGTGGTAAGCAAAGCTGTCTACTATAGTAAAGAAAAAGAAATATCCATGTCTCCTAAATGCAAAAGTGGAAATGTGATTTTGGGGGGATGTTAGTTATTCTTAGTTCTTCACATTTTAATGCACTGATGAATTCTCCTTTGCTCTCTCACAGCCTCTACATGGAAAATTGATGCTATCAGAAGCAGTTCCAATATTAAGGCCAAACTTGATTGCAGGGATAGATGAAGTCAAAGATAGTGGGTGGCATGCATGGGAACAAGTGTTTAGTTTCATCTTAAGTACCTAACTAGAAGAATCCTAACTTTTAAGATCATAAGGTCTTACTGTAGAATTAGAAAAGGGCTTCTACAATGTACCCTTTATGTGTTAAAATGAATGATAATTAAGCCAGCCTCATTCTACTAAGGAGTTTCTCTAGTCCGGGAGAAGCAAATGACATAGTGGAAATAGCATAGTCTTTGGAGCACATCAAGAATGACAATAAATCCTACTGTTATCATTTTCTAGTTTTGATACTTAAGGCAATTTTCTCAATCTCTCTGAACCTCAGTTTCCTCATTTGCATTTTGAGAGTGATAACAGTTCCTAGTTCTTAGGACAGGTGTGAGAATTAAATTAGATAATAACATTAACACTTCAATTCCAGATTATTGGGTACATCCTTAAGGGTTACAGCATGAAAATTGTTTCTTGTCTTTCCTTCTGTGAACACTCCTCTAAACTCTATACTAAGTCACACATACACATGCAAAATGACTGCATGAGTCTTTAAGACATATTACAAATGATAAGTCAAATAGGGAAATAAAATAGAAAGGGCCAGAAAGTGAACGTAGTCTTTAGAGTAACAGCAGCTCATATCATTGACACTATTTTATCTGTAAATTCATCACTTAGGGTTATATTCTTTTATCATATCTCTATTTTATAGATCAGATCTTAACACTATATGGGAAGCCATTATACATTTCAGGAGAATATAAAACCAGTTCATTCCTTTGTTTTTATAAATTTAATTAAAACAAACAAAATTTAAAAAATCACAACAAATACTCCATCTGAGGAACAACTGTACTACCTTATTTTTTTTTTCATTTCAAGTTCTTAATACAATAACTATTAGTATCATATAGACAGAAGGCATGTTTGTATGATTTGGGAGGAAAACAAAGATGGATAGAAAGGTGCAAATGAACACTAGGTGTCTTGTCCTCCCATTTGAATTCCCAGACCGTTCATTTAGTAGTGGCTAAGTTGCCATAGGAAACTATTCTCTCTGGACGTTGCTTCTTCTACCTATATTATGAGGAGACAGAACATTTCCAAATTGTTCTTCCAAATCTGCAATTCTACAGGATAGTTAAAGAAAAATAATGAATCAGTACACTCCTGCCATTCTTTGTATAATATGCATAATTCCATGGCCAGACCCTCAGCAACTGTGAAGATTACCTTCCCTATGTCCTAATATAATATGTAACAAAAGCCAAACTAAATCATAAAATTTAATCAAGGAATTCCAAAAAGTTTTTATCCTATACTGATTACTGAAGCACTTCTGCCATCCTTTAAAGATCTGGAAAAACTAGTACTTCATTTTATATGATATCAGATAAAACCTCAAATAGCCAAGACATTACTCAGAAATAAAAAAAAAATCAGGTGGAATCACACTACTAGATTTCAGATTATACTATAAATCTTTAGTGATCAAAACAGTATGGTATTGGCACAAAAATAGAGAGGTAAATGTATGGAATAGAACTGAGAACCAAGAGATGAACCCAGGCACTTATCATCAATTGATCTTTGATGAACCTATCAAAAACTTAAATTGGGGGAAAGACTCCTTATTTAACAAATGGTGCTGGGAGAATTGGTTGGCAACATGTAGAAGACTGAAACTGGACCCACACCTTTCACCTCTAACAAAAATTGACTCTCACTGGATAAAAGATTTAAACCTAAGACATGAAACCATAAAGATTCTTGGAAAGAGTGCAGGAGAAACATTGAAGAAATTGGTCTGGGAGAAAAATTTATGAGGAAGTCCCCCAGAGCAACTGAAGCAATACCAAAAATACATTACTGGGATATGATCAAACTAAAAAGTTTTTGCACTGCCAAGAACACAGTAAATAAAGCAAGCAGACTGCCCTCGGAATGGGAAAGGATATTTGCAAGTTACATTTCTGACAAAGGTCTGATAACTAGAATCCACAGAGAACTCAAACTTATTAATAAGAAAAGAACAAGTGATCCCATTTCACTATGAGCAAGATACCTAAACAGAAGCTTCTCTAAAGAAAAGAGGCACATGGTATATAGACACATGAAAAAATGCTCGTCCTCTTTAATCATCAGAGAAATGCAAATCAAAAGCCTCTTTGAGATACCATCTAACTCCAGTAAGAGTAGTTCACATAACAAAATCCCAAAACTACACATGTTGGCGTGGGTGTGGAGAAAAGGGGACACTTCTGCACTGCTGGTGGGAATGCAAGCTAGTATGTTCCTTTTGGAAAGAAGTTTGGAGAATACTCATGGATCTAAAAATTGACCTGCTGTTGGTTCCTACAATTCCTCTACTAGGAATATATCCAAAATACCAAGAATCACTTTTCAAAAAATATATTTGCACCAGATTGTTCATTGCAGCTCAATTCATAATAGCCAAGTCATGGAAGAAGCCCAAATGCCCATTGACCCATAAATGGATTAATAAATTGTGCTATATGTATACCGTGGAATACTATTCAGCCTTAAAAAGGATGAAGCCTTTACCTCTTTTATGTTTACATGGAGGGATCTGGAACATATTCTCCTGAGTAAAATGTCTCAAGAATGGAGGAAAAAGTATCCAGTGTACTCAGTACTTCTATGAAACCTACTTATATTTACTCACACTTTCTTAGGAAAGATAGATCACAACTATAGCCCAGGATGAAGGAGAGAAATGGAGTGGGAAAGGAGGGGAGAGGGGAGGCTTGACAGATGGAGAGTAAAAGGCAGGATCACACCTATGAAGCAGATGACAATGGTACAAGTTAAATCTGTGAAGTATAGAACATAGATGTTTTGGCATAATAATCAAGTAAATGAGGTGAAAGCTATGATGATTAGTTTCATGTAACCATATCAGATTGTATAAGAAAAAATCAGCACATTGTACCCCATGTATACACGAATTATTCATGATCTATACATATTTGACTTAATAAAATTTAAAAAAAATAAAAAAGTTTAAAAAATAAAAAATAATTAAATATTTAATTGTTTTTTTTTTTTAATGATTTTATGGTCCATGTTTTGCTGGTGTCTTAAGCAATGTTCATTTTAACATTTAGATAATCCACCCTGCCAATGTTGCCACATCAGTATATGATTCCTCTTAGATATAGAATTAATCTCTCCTTTCAAGATCACATGAAGGGAAATAGTCTAGTTCATCTAAATTTTTATATTATTTAAGTTTTTCATGTAAATTAAAATAGGACCCAAGACAAGGGAGAGACACAAACTGCAGGAGATCCTCAGCATGACAAGCTATCATGAGAGAATAATAAGGAAGAAACATTCTCAGGCCCTGAAAATTAGCCAAGGCACTGGCAATACAGGATCAAAGAGAAGGGGCCATTTTATAAGTGCTGGGGTGCCAATGTAGGAAGCCAGAACCTGGTGGTTAAAGTGGAAGTCAAAGAAGAGGCAAGAAGACCTAAAAGGTAAAAGGTAAGATCAAATTTTATCCATTGAAATTGGGAGTCAGTGAGAAGTAGACAAATTTGGAAGCAAAAGTGATATATCAAATATTATACTAATTTGCAGTGCTGAGAACATATTGAATATTTCAAGACACTCTTGCCTGCAAGATACAACTTAAGGGAATTTTGGAGAGTAGTTGTGGGACAATTCTATCATTCCCTGATATCGTGTGACCTTAGATCACTAATATCTATTCCTTAAGGTTGTGCTGCTTCTTCTGTAAACACATCCCTTCTAATTATAATATTGTATGTATCTGTAAATATAAAAGAGAGATCTCGGTGTTAGATAAAGAACTGGTTAACCATCAAACTTTTCTTTTTCCTTTGCTTTGTGCAGGGATCATTAATCCATGGCTTACCTTGATGAATATACTGAAACATTCAAGATGAGTAGCAACAGTACCAGCATTGACTGCAATGTACCTAATGTGACATTTCAGTACTCCCTCTATGCAACCACCTACATTCTCATTTTCATCCCTGGTCTTCTGGCCAACAGTGCAGCCCTGTGGGTTCTGTGTCGCTTCATCAGCAAGAAGAATAAAGCCATCATTTTCATGATCAACCTCTCTGTGGCTGACCTTGCTCATGTGTTGTCCTTACCTCTCCGGATTTACTATTACATCAGCCATCACTGGCCTTTCCAGAGGGCCCTTTGCCTACTGTGCTTCTACTTGAAGTATCTCAACATGTATGCCAGCATTTGCTTCCTAACATGCATCAGCCTTCAAAGGTGTTTCTTTCTCCTGAAGCCCTTCAGAGCCAGAGACTGGAAACGTAGATATGACGTGGGCATCAGTGTTGCCATCTGGATCATTGTGGGGACTGCCTGTTTGCCATTTCCCATCCTGAGAAGCACAGACTTAGCCAACAACACAAAATCGTGCTTTGCTGATCTTGGTTACAAGCAAATGAATGCAGTAGCTTTAGTTGGAATGATTACAATTGCTGAGCTTGCAGGATTTGTGATCCCAGTGATCATCATCGCATGGTGTACCTGGAAAACCACTATATCTTTGAGACAGCCACCAATGGCTTTCCAAGGGATCAATGAAAGGCAGAAAGCACTGCGAATGCTTTTCATGTGTTCTGCAGTCTTCTTCATTTGCTTTAGTCCTTATCATATTAACTTTATTTTTTACACCATGGTAAAGGAAACCATCATTAGCAGTTGTCCTATTGTCCAAAGCACACTGTATTTCCACCCTTTTTGTCTGTGTCTTGCAAGTCTCTGCTGCCTTTTGGATCCAATTCTCTATTACTTCATGGCCTCAGAGTTTCGTGATCAAATATCTCGTCATGGCAGCTCTGTGACCCGTTCCCGTCTCATGAGCAGAGAGAGTGGGTCATCAATTATTGGCTAAAATAAATAACTCTTCAATTATGACTTTGTTTACCTGTTACTTGGCACTTTCCAGAGGCCATCCTTACTGACTATTTTTTTTTTTTTATTGAACCTTAGAAACGATAGAAATATGTGTTGTCTTTTGTGATGGTTGTGGTCATAAGGGTAGGATGGTGAAGACTGAATGTGAAGGAAGGGAAAATGGAATTTGCCTGTTTCCTCTGTGAAACTCAAGGCACAGTCTTATCCAAGAGACTAAGATGATGTTTTTGAAAATGTTTACAACCAAACAGAAATTTGATACTTTATCTTAAAAATTATTTAGTAAATAGTTTATTGTTAATAAAATACAATACATACATGGGTCCTTTCTAACAAGTAAGAATAAATCCCTTTCATACAAAGAGCTTCATGTCAGAATAGGGTAAAAGTCTCTAGTCTTTCTAACAAATAAATGTACAGGAAAGGGGCCATGAATAATTGAGGAAATATGTGCATAAATTTTGGAACTACAAACCTGAGACAAAAGAAAATTAATGGGAACTCATTAATTTACTGAAAATGTTTTAGGTGTCTATTATATTCTAGGTTGCAATTTTGCTGGATACTTTTACAAATAACATCTCATTTGGTTTTTACAGTAAGTTTGTAAAAGTTTCTAAACTTGAGAGAGGTTAAGCAACTTGCCTTGAGATAAATAGTAGTAAGGCAAAATTTGTCCAATGTACACCACATATACTTATTTCCTTGTTTGCGTTGTTACATTTACTAAGTCTATACTTAACATGCCTTCAATGATGAAGACACAGACTAAAGTTATGCCACATGAGACCAAGGCCATTTCAAAATGATTACCCTACAATTACCTGAAAAATCTGTGTGGGTTGTGATGTTGATATGTAAGGCTTCAGGCTGAAATGTCTCAAATGTAAATAGATTTATTGCCCTAATATTGTTTTAATCTACTGATTCTTGATGATAAGGGGTATGGGAAACTCAGATAGCTCATTAATTCCCATAAAATATATTTTCAGGGTAAATACAGGTGATATAAACCTCATAAATAGGTGAAAGAAAGGAAGCTGTAAAATCGAGTGGTGAACATTCTACAAAATGTAAAAGTTCTTTAGGACTTTACCTAAATTTTTTTTGGCCTCAAACATAGCTCACATAATTCTGATCAAATTTGTGTTTAAGAGACTTTTCATAAGTTTTTCTGTGAGCATAAATCATGAATTTTATTAGAAAGAGAAAATATTATCACATTATGGACAAATGAGAGAAAAGTGTCTGTTCTCCTACTGACAATCTCCTTAACTTAATTTCCCCAAATGTTATGGGTTTTGTTTCAGAAATATTAGTAATAATTTGAACACAAGTAATCCATCAGCTTCTCATGTTGGTATTTATAAGGTTTAATTTATCACTTTTGTGTTTTATGTTTTAAGTTTAAATAACATTCAAATTTGGTATGCATGAAAGTGAGGTAAGTGGTAGTCCTCAGAATATCTATTTGAACAGTCTGGAAAAGGAAGAAGGGACAATGAAAAAAAGTAGGAATTTTGAAAAGGAGTATGATTTCTGGAAAAGGAGAGAATTTTATAATTATAAATACTTAACCACATTTTTTGAATAGAAAATCAGTTTTTATTTTTAATTTGAGTATTCTTTTTTCAAAGTAAATTGTAAATGTTTCACTTTGAATGTATAGAATTGATAAAGTAGGGAACATTTAGTTTTACAGAAACTGAATTTCAAATTAGGTAGTAAGGAGAAAGAAGGAGCATAGTAAAATTAAAGGAGCTGTTAGCATATACTAGCAGATTTCCTGATTTTTTGGAGTTGGAGTTGGATTTCTGTGAGGGCAAAAATAGCATTTGAACTAATCCTTGCAATGATGGCAAGGAGTTTTCAAGATGACATTAAATATCGAGGTAGAGTAAGCATTCTTTTTGCCAGGCTGGAAGAAGAGAGAAAAATGAAAAAACTGGACTGGTAACTAGGACTGAATACTGTTATTAGAGTCCTAGAATATGGAGAGCCTTGACTATCATGTGTAGAATCTTGGGCTTTTATATGGTGGGGTGAGGAGGTAAAGTGGATCATAAAAACTGTGGAGATTGAAATGCTTACATACATATAACAGGTCTTGACTAATAGTGATTTGATGTAAGGAATATAGGCAAACCCCTAGTGCCAAGTATATATCATTGTTTATACTGAGGTTTGTGTTATCTCTATCATTCAAAAACAACGTAAATAATTAGAAATATATTAAAAAGTCATCATCTGTTGAGTCTAACTATGTGAGAGGCTTTATGTGGATTGCCATATTTATTAATAATTATCACAACAATCCTGGGAGGTAGGTACCATAATTATTCTTAATTTACATATGAAATAAAAGAAAACTACAGAGAAGTTGAGTAACTTGCTCAAGAATCTACAGCTAATAAATTATAGAACCAGGAATTTTAACCTTGAAATTCTGAGCCCAGAGCTAATGTGGTTAGGACCCTATGTATTTTATAGTATTGGAATAAATTTCATGAGAAAATGTTCACATTTTAAAGAGAGTTTTCCTTTTATCCAAAAGAACCATACAATAGAATGTTGTGGTACTTGCACTGAAGTTTCTAACTTTTCAAAATTCTTTTATTTCTTTTCAAATACATAAGCTATAATTTGGTAATATATAATAAAAGTTTTTTTAGGTTTGAATTGAACTATTTATTTCAAATTAATATGCAGGTACAACTATTCAGTTTACACTGTTTTCAATTCTAAGGAAAATTTCCAGTCTTACCAGAGCCTTTGGCCCAGAGGGCGTGCTAAACATCCTCACATCCTGCACACTATGTGAGATCCTGTCAATAGTCCTCCCTCTTTCTGCCAATTACCCTCCCCTCTTCCCTTCTCCCCTCTCCCTCCTTGACCCTCCACTGTTATAGACCATACTTGTGTTTTATCTTTTGTGTTGGCATGTAGTTGTTTATATATTGGTTTCATATTACTATTGAGTACATTGGACACTTGCATTTCCATTCTTGAGATACTTTACTAAGAAGATTGTGTTTCAATTCCATCCAGATAAACAAAGAAGTTGTAAATTTTTCATTTCTTCCTATGGGTGAATAGTATGCCATGATATACATGTGCTAAAGTTTCTTAATTAATTCATGGATTAATGGGCATTTGGGTTGCTTCCACAACTTGGTAATTGGGAATTAAGCTTCAATAAATATTCTGTGTCAATATCCTTGTGGTAAAATGATTTTTGTTCTTCTGGGTAGATACCTAGTAATGGGATTGTGGGATCACATGGAAGATCAACATTTAATTTTTTAAGAATTTCCCCTACTTATTTTCATAGAAGTTGTATCAGTTTGTAATCTCAGGAGCAATATATAAGTGTTCCTTTCTCTACACATCCATGCCAACATTTGCAATTTGGGACTTTGTGACATGGGATAATCTCACTAGAGTTACGTAATATCTCACAGTGGTTTGATTTTCATTTCTCTGATGATTAGGGGTGATGAAATTTTTTAATGTGTTTTTTTGGCCATTTTTTTTTGTCATCTTCAGAGAAGTTTCTGTCATCTTCAGGAAGTTTTTGTATGACTCCCTTGCCCACTTACAAACGGGGTTCTTTGTTATTTTTATATAGATTAATTTGTATTTTCTGAGATTCTAATTATCAGCATTTTTTTCAGATTGATAGCATGCAAATATCTTCTCCCATTGTGAAGGCTGTCTGTTTGCTTCAATTGTGGTACCTTTAGCTTTGTAGAAGCGTCTTGGCTTGATCAAGCCTCATTTATTTATTTTTGGTCTTGCTGCAATTTCCAGGGGTGTCTTCTTATTATTCTCCCAGTGTAATTTTGTCTATTGTTTTACCCACACTCTCTTCTAGAATTTTTATTGTTTCATATCTTAAGTTTAAATTTTTAACCCAATGAGACACAATTTTAGTCAATGGTGAGAGGTATGGGTATAGTTTCAGCCTTCTATATATGGCTAACCAGTTCTCCGAGCATCATTTATTACATAGGAATTACTTTTTCTATTGCATGTTTTTTTTGTTTGTTTATTTATCAGAGATCAGATGACAATATGCCACTGGTTTCACTTCTACATTCTCTATTCAATGCCACTGATCTACATCTCTATTTTTGTTCCAGTACCATGCTGTTTTAACCACTTTATTCTTGCAGTATAACCTGAAGTCTGGTCACATGATGACTCTAGATTTTTTTTATTATTATTTCTAAAAATTGTATTGGATATTCAGAATTTTATCTGGTTGCATATGAAATGAGGTACTATTTTTTTCTAATTCTTCACAGTATGGAATTGGAGCTTTGATGGGGAATGCATTAAATAAGTAGAATTCTTTGGGTAGTATGAACATTTTAATGATGTTGATTCTTCCCAGCCATGAGCACAGTATATTCTTTCATTTGTTAGCATCTTCTCCATTTCTTTTCTGAGAGTTTCATAGTTTTTTATTGAGATCATTCACATCCTTTTTTAGATACATTCCTAGGTATTTAATCTTTTTTGAAGCTACTGTAAAAGGCATTGAATCTTTGATCTTATTATCAACTTGACTGTTATTGGCATAAATGAAAGTTACTGATCACTGGACTTTAATTTTGTATCCTTCAATTCTAGTATATTTCTTTATCACCTGTAAGAGCCTTGTAGTTTAGTCCCTGGGGTTTTTAGGTATGAGATTATGTTATCTTCACAGAGCCAGATTTTGACCTCCTTTTTCCCATTTTTATATTTCTCTTGCCTAATTTTAATGTCTAGGACTTTCAGCACTATGTTTAATAGCAGGGACAATAGTGGACATCCTTGTCTAGTTCCAGTTATAACTGTAAATGCTTTAATTTTTCACCATTCAATATGATATTGGGTGTGAGTTTGTTATAGTCATCCTCTATTAGTTTAAGAAATGTCTCACCTATGCCTATTTTCTTTTTTGTTTGGTTTGTGGTTTTTTTTAATGTTTT